AATTTTGAGATTTTTTATTTTTTTTTCGTTCCCGAAACTAAACGTCAAATCGTACAAAAATATAAATTTAATATTTGAGCGGGAGCGAACACAATAACGTTAAATTAATGATTCACTTGATTTTTTTTTTCACCTATCAATTAAAGGAAAACATCTAAATATGCACATAGTTATTGGTTAAAATTTTATTGTTTAAAATTCTTAAAAATAGTTCTGGAAGAACTTCAATTTTTTTTTTTAACATGTTTTTTATAGAGAATTAAACAAGGATCACGATGGTGTAATTTTAAATCCCAAATTTACTGGTCTTCACCATGCAAATCAACTTAAACAAGTTGAACTGTTAATAGCCAAGTTAACTTTAGGGCAATCATAACTATTATATAACTATTTGAATTTGAAGCGAATCGGAGACATGACATCTTTTTTTTTACGAAATCGGTCTTGACTATTCTTTAACACTGCGAGAATGCATAAAATGACTTTGATGGTACTTTTCGAACCCCCTTAATATATTTTTTAGGCGGTTAAAGTTTACGACTTACAACAATACGACACTTACGACACCGTTGTGAATACCCCATATATGTAAGTGTAAAGATGATCTGTTTTTTTTTTACTTTTTGTAAAAATGACTGCGACTGCAATTAGCTGATATAACTGATATAAAATAAAGATATTTAAGTTGCTTTGCTTAAAAACATAAATTGAAATTGAGAGTAACTGAGCAACTATTACTAGTCAGAAGTTACAGGATTTAGTCCCGAGTTTTTCTTCCTGTAAGTTCATGAAAAACATTAAACTATATTATAATGCAAAGAATTCTTAAAGAAGTCACCAAAGGAAGTCAATATGGCGGAATTAGAGCGAGAAGCTGCCAACATCCAACACCTTCTATTATTGCATCATGGCTTTCGGGCACCCGCGGTCGAGCAAAAGAACAGAGTTAACGTGAAAACACGTTGTAAAATGAAACTAAAAAACGGTTTATCGATTGATTTAGATCAAAATAGGTCTCCAGTAGTGTACATGTGCTGCTAAATTGGCTTACAGTAGGTTTGGGTAATTGTGCACTTTAGCGTACCCGCCAAAAATTGACCCAAAATAGCCGAAAGGGGTATCGAACCATGCGTATTACTACCAATCGTCGCCTGGGTAAAAGATTGTCGTAAGCGCCATTTTGACGATTTCTAGTTCTAGATGCAGTTATATATTTTGAAATAAGGTCTTTCGATTGGTGTTTTCAGTTTTTAGATATCTCCTCTAGTTTCCGAGATATTGACTACAATTTTTTCGATAATTTAGTTAAAACTTAGTTAGTGATGCAGTCATATTAAACTAATAACTAATAAATATTTTAGAAATGGTGTTCTCAATTTTTGTGTATCTCCTTTAGTTTCCGAGATATTGAGTAAAAAGTGTCGTTAATTTAGTAGAAATTTTGATCACATTTTGTCGTATTTCATAAAAAGTAGCTGCCAAATTGCGGACAAATGGCGCTTACGACAAAATTTTTCTAAAGAAAATCCTTCATAAACTCAAAACTAATTAACAATAAACATTAAAAATTAAATAATTTAGAATTTTGTGAACTAGTAACATTTAAGGTTTAGAGTTTATTTGATACACGCTAACAGTTTGAACTTGCCCGAGTTTTTCTACAAGTAGCTTGTGGAAAAAACCATATATAATCGGTAAACGTATTGGAAAAGGAAATAAAGTTGAGTCAAAATATGTTTTCAAAATATGACGTAGTGAAAACCATAGGTGCAATCCCGTATTCCTCGGGCTAAAACTAGTAAAACTGTCAAAAAAATAAAAATTCGCTCAGAGCGAAAGAACGGGATTGCATTCTAGTAAAAAATTGTAACTTCTGTCAACTTCAACATAACCTCTGTAGGGTATTTTACCTATATGTTTTTATACTTGTTTAAATTCTTTATGTTCAATTTATGGTTCAATGATTTGTTTGTTATCAAAAAGAAAATTTTTGATTATTCAATAAATAAACTTTCAATGTTAAAACATTAAAATATTTGTACTTAAAATTAAAATTAAATCAATAATTAAAATATCAACATACGATATAACCTTCAAATTTTGGTCGTAAATTTTCCCTTATTTTGTATGTAAACACACTCAGCTCACACATGTAAATAACCAAAAATACTTTCAAATTCATTAGAATCCACTTAAACAAGTAATTAAATACTTTTCAACATGAATTAGCAGAGTGCACTTTTCTTTTGTTTACAATTTGGTTGCCAAACACACTACAGCTGATCGTTTGACACATTTACCAGAATTTACCAGCAAAAAATTCTCGGCCTAAAACTGGTAACTTCTGACAGAGAGAGAACCGTATTTACTCTCTTTCTTGTCCTCTCAATAGTCAGAGAACCCGAGTACGGGATCGATTTCCAGTAATATCTGACTGATTCTGACTTTTTCTGACTAGTACGGACTCGTACGGGATCGCAACTCATGATAAAAACATAGTAAGGTAAAACCATGATACAATAGGTCCATTCTTTTGCAACCGAGCTACAAAAGAACACTCGCTTAAATGACGAAATACACGCAAAGCAACAACATAAACTCGGCTATTTATCCGAGTTCAGCCAGCAGGTCGGTTAAAAAATACGCGACCTGAATAGTAGTGTTGTTAAGTGAAAAAACTGCTCTATTGTGAATTGTTACTGGGAAATTGGAGAGGGAAATTTTTGTTTTCGTATATACATGATTTATATTTTAAATAAAGAGCGAAATACACCACACAAGCGGTTTGACAAACCAAGCGAAATTTCCCTTTGCTTCAAGCCATTTGTGCTGTGTATGGGGGTGTTTGAAGGTTTGACAAACCGCCGTCAAACCTTCAAACACCCCCATACACAGCACAAATGGCTTGAAGCAAAGGGAAATTTCGCTTGGTTTGTCAAACCGCTTGTGTGGTGTATTTCGCTCTTAAGTATATATATTATGCAAATACCTCGCATAATAACTAATTTCTATTGTTTTTTGTGTCTAAATCACGTTAAACTAATTACATGTTTCTTGCCAGCTACCAGCAGGGTAGCTTAAGTAGCTAAAAGGAAATTTTACCCGAGTTGAGCTTTGTTTTGTCGCTCGCTTACAAGAAAATACAGCTATAATTTACATTGTCTTTCCTGAGAATTTTGCCTCACATCGAAATTCGTGCTCCATTATTTTCATTTTGACGCATTTCAATGTTGATTCTTTAACTTTTATTTGGCTTTGCTTTTTGTTTTCGCTCAATTTAATTTTTATAATTTTTCAAAACAAGAAAATAATGTTTGAAATTAAGTAAGCCATACAAATTTTAATTTCATTTACAAGCAAATGTTTTTTTTGGCTTTTGCAAGTTATTAAGTTCTCTGCAAGAAGGTTTGTTTAAAAAAAATACGTGGACATACATATGTACATGGTATATGGTGAATAGAAATATCCCTTTTCCCTTACAGTAAAGCTTTTAGTGTGGGCAACAATGATATATTTCAAATAAGGCAGATCGGAATATGCGCTCTCTTGGAAGACAATACCTGTAATTATTGTACCATGGGTGAAAACTTTTTGTGGCGAGTGTATGTGGGAACACACATGCATATGCACTTCAGCTGTTTTCCTATCAGAAATCAACTTGCGGATGTAAATGACTCAAAATGAAAACAAAAGAGGATGTGGAAAACAAAAATTGAGCCACAATACATACACACAAACCCATATGTAAACATTAAATGTATACACACGTGCATCGCACGAAAACTGCACAATTTTGCTGATGCATAACGATATTGGTTCATAAATTGACGTATGAAAGAAAGTAGCCAACCTTACCTCAAGCTTTTAATTTGGTTGTAAAACAGACTTTTAATGTTTACATGCTGTAGAGCATTTGTGTTACATTTTTGCGGTTGAATGTCATGTGCTGGAATTTTGAGCTTCGCACTATTGCAAATTAAACCTGATTTAGTTTGACGACGTATTACATCTTTTAGAGCTTAAACTAAGCGATATAAATTTTTTCCACGCAGCAACCACTTCCTCAATAATTTGGTTATATATTTATAAATATAAACGTAATTATTTAAATATAATTGGATCACAGGTACTTACAAACTCTTGATCATCCGACGCCATTTTGAACGAATGTAATTCTGACATGACTCCAAATTCTCGCTTTGTCGTCCAAACAGGGTTGCTCACAAAAATATTCGAATATCTTTTACTACACACCGGTATTTAATAAATAACTATTAATCACACAATTATATGTTTCATCTTTTGAAAACGTTTTGTTACAGCTCTACAAAATAATTCGATCTTTAAACAAAACAAGAATAATTGCAACAAGAGTACCGAAGAATTTGTATGTTGCTTGAAAACGCTCAACACGAATGACTAATGAAAAGGAAAATAAACAAAAACATTTAATTGTCTATCCATGACATTTCCATAGTGATGCCAGAGAACGTTAAATACTTAAAATAAATATTTAACGTTCTCTGCTGCATATTTGGCGAATCAAATAACGTTTCTTACGTCATTTACGTTATTTTCCCAATATTTTTTAATATTTTTAATAACTGGTTTTACCAAATAGTTCTTCCGTTAGTAAAATATATCATGTTTTCTGGGTGAGTAATTCGTTGGAATCTTCGCGTTAAGGCCTGCAAAAGAGGCGCGGTACGGTACAATGCGGTATAATCCCGTACGATATGCGGTATCAAATACAATGGCGGCATATGAGAGCGTCATTAAAATTATTTATATTAACAAATATAAATTTTGAAGGACGATTGCGTTGACGTCTTTTGTCCTCATCGCTCTTCGCACGGTTTCCTGCTGAGTGCCTTTGCGTATATCGTTACCGCGTATCGTATCGGGATTATACCGTCCGGTGCCGTACCGTGCCTGTTTGCAATGGCATTTAGGCGGGCCGGGAGGCATTCCAAAGAGTTTTCATTTATAAATGTAGATTAAAGTCTTTTGTCCGCAAATATTTTTTCCAGCCAATTTCCTATCTTTATTTGGATTTCACACGAATGGCCGGCATGCATACGATGTATTCTCAGGTGGCAGCCACAGAAGGAAGTGCTCGTATTAATTTTTTTCTCATATTTTCATTCGGTCCTCATAGCAAAGGAAAGTAATTTTTTCTGCAATTGAAACCTGCGAGGAGTGTTTTTAAATCTTATCTACAAAAATTGTCTGAAAACGATTTCTACACTGTACAATTTAACATTGAAATGATTTACGTTGTACCTCATTAGCCAACAAAAAAGGACGTGGCCATAGAACTGATGAAAACCGAAGTTACGCAAATTTAATAAACTTTAAAAGTGCATCACTAAACAGGAAGATACGAGTCGTTTTATTACATTTAACTACAACAAATAAAAAATTGTATAATTGAATTAAAGGATTTAATATGAGCGGCGGTGGAGTTGGTAGTGACTCTACAGCGCCAAGCGGTCCGCGAGTGGTTCATATATATAAAACGGAAACAGGTATTTGTGGTTGAAATATCTGGACTGTCCAAATGCTATAACGTCAGATAATTCTGTAATACTGGAATAATAATTATTTGCGAAAAATTTTTAAGATCTATGCTTCCTATGCCATTCTTTAAAAGCGCACGGCAAAGGTACCTAGAGTAATTTTATTGATTTTTTCTTTCAATTTTAGGCTTTGGTTTCAATGTGCGTGGACAAGTTTCTGAGGGTGGGCAACTTCGTTCAATAAACGGAGAGTTATATGCCCCCTTGCAACACGTAAGTGCCGTGCTCGAAAACGGCGCCGCAGAGAAGGCAGGAATAAAAAAAGGGGATCGCATACTAGAGGTGTAAGTACTAATATTCACTATATAATATGTATATGTATATCATAGTTATATGTAGATATTTTCGCGTCTTATTTGTGACAGTATAGGCTAATTGTTGATTTGTTTTTCTTATATTATTACTTTCGTGAACTCATGGATGGTATAAAAGCATAGATGGGTGCAATCCCAGCAACCTGTTTAGTACGCCCCTTTGTGTATTGGAATTCGATAGTTTATTTAACCAATCACTTGCCATCAGTATGGCCAGAAAAACATATTGTTAAAAATCGTCCAAGTGACGATAAAATCTTCAAAAAACTATAAAAAGGTGACAGAACGTTGGAAAAAAAGTTTCTCTAGAAATATTTTTATTTTAAAATTGTATGGCAACAAAATACTTAATTTGTTTTATTATCAAGACCATAACACATTTTATTAAAAAAAACTAACAAGTTCATGAATTCAGTTTACATACATTTTTAACTGACTTAATAAAAGGAGAAGGTTATCAGCTAATATTTTTTATGTACATATGGTACCGCATAACTTTGGACCACGTCAAGCGATTTCGATAATTATTTTTTTCATCGGAAGGGTGGTCCCATACTAATTTCGTTTAGATCCGATAATTGGATCAGGAACAAATTAACGGTACACCAAAATATTGATATGAGAATTGAAGTCGGTTCTGTTTTTTGCTCAAAAATTACATGTTGATTCAACAAATATTGTTCCATAATTTTTACCTTTGGGAAATTCACAACGCCGGGTTTGAGCTGCACAAGCCTAGTTTGAGCGAGAATTTTGGCTCGAAAAATCAAGTCAAAAACATATTCATAAACATATTCAATATTACTATCTATCTGTCCTGCAAGGTGAATTGATGACAAAAACGAAAAATTGTTTGCCACCTACAAGTATCAACTACCAAAAACCACGTGGGCACAGTTTATCCTTTCATTTTTTCCTATCCATATTTGACAATAGAATCCGGTCCTACTTTCGCATATACAGCAGTAAATTGATGACAAAAAGCAAAATTTATGTCCAACTACCCAAAAAAAAAAACTTTATTTTAGTCTAATTTACGTCGTACGCAATGAGGCTGATTATTCAACCCCTTTCCCCATAGAACTTCGTTACCGATTCTTGCAAAGCCCTTTCACGGTGCACGGATTGCACGGTTTGCAAAGCTGTCCCATACGAAAACCGGTTTTTACCGTGCAATCCGTGCAATCTGTGCACCATGCAAGGGCTTTGCAAGACTCAGAGAATACCCCTATTGTCTCTTATCTACCAAACCGAACAGCTGAAAAATGTAGGAAAAAATTGAAAGTGAATTTGCTAAACCCCGTTGTGGTGGTATAGATGTCATGAAAACTAACTCAATAGGGCTGCTCAGGAAGTTGCGGTCTTGGATTTGCAGTTGGAATTACATTAGTAAATTTTATGCTTGCTGCTATGTTAACCGCGATCATTTTATTGTTGTGCATTGACAAATGCAAAGTGCAAGAGCATATGCACAAGATCCTGAACAGCCTTAATAGGAAAAAATAAGTATGCAATTAAAAAGGAACATTTAATATATGGGCAAATCTAAAAAACAGGTAACCTTTGTGTTATTTAGCTATATTTTCATTGCTGTATACTATATCAAGCTGATTGCTTTTGGATATAATTCATAGACGTATACTTGAAGCCTCAAAAAAATTTTGAATGATTTTGTTGCATAACTTCTGAGCTATAAATGTTTTCAGTCAAAAAATATATATATTAGTCTAGCAGACCCGGCGGACTTCGTCCCGCCCTAAATTAATTTTTTATTTAAACATTTGGTCCAACGTTTTCACCAACAATTCACGTTCACGTTTGGTTTTGTGGTCGTCATCTTAAATAACCTTATGAAAAAGTTATGCCCATGAAGAAGTTCTTGAGACAACAATGATCTGATTCGATGGTGAATCGTCCTTGAATCTGTATAGTACAGTTGGTGGAAATTTCAAAATGGGGGAGTATCATTAGTCCACAGAAATCCCGTATACATAGACTTATTTCAGACGAAATACCTGAGAGTTCTTACAATTATATTTGTAGGCATTTATCAAGAATAGTCTTTATCCTGTTTAGGGCCGCAGCTCTTTTTGTGCAATAGTACATATTGACCCCACCGTTACCAATATATATTTCGAATATGAGCCAAATAAATACAATTTATAGTAATAACTCGACTCCAGCGCCACCTGGCGTTTCAAGTTGTGAACCTTAATTATAGAGGGACCCGCTCAAACACATACACAAAAATCATTAAAATCGTTTCGCGCATTTAGGAGGGGTTCGCTCACAAATACACGTATCAAAGAAGTATATATCGTAATCCACAAAGACCTTAACCAACAAAGTTTTTTACAGGAGAGCAAAAAACATAAAATGAGTATGAAAAACAGGTAGCATGTGGCATGTAGCTCCGTTGTTGTTGGTACTAACACTTTAATATTTTTTAATATGTGAAAACGCAGTTTTGAAAAAAGTTTCGGTTAGGCCTCTGTGAATTAAGGTAACGATATGTATTTACAGATAGGCAAAAGTTTCCTTATGTTTGAAACGCGACACGCCACCTTTCACAATAACCCCTACTTGTCTCCAAATACCTCAGTATCAGGTCCACCTATCAGAAAAAAGTGACCTATATGTTAATCCAGGCAATAAGCTACCTAATTACTTACAAAAAATTATGCTAATATAGGCAAAAAGCTACCCACGACCAAATTTTAACAAATTGGATTATAAATAAAATTTTTTCGAATGTATCTGTCACTGGTCCACTTCCTGGAAAAAAGGCAAAAAGCTACCTACGTACCAAATTTTAAGAAAATCGGACCATAATACGATTTTTTCGAATAGTTCGTCCCAGGTCCACTTCCCGGAAAAAAAGAATCATATATGCTAATATAGGCAAAAAGCTACCCACGTACCAAATTTTAAGCAAATCGGACCATAATACGATTTTTTCGAATAGATAGGTCCCTGGTCCACCTACGGGAAAAAGTACATTTTTTTGGCCTTTGGACTTCTCTTTATATAGTTAGTATAGACAAGTGAATTTTTTGTGTAATTTTTAGGAGGTGAAAAATTAATTATGTCATAACTTTTGAAGCACACCATATACTGGTTGGATATTTTATGGGCAATTTAGTACTTATGTGTACACTTAATTTGTCGTAGGTAAAGTGTGCCCTGAAAAATAACTAAATGGCAAGTTACTCAAAGTTTGTAACTCAAATTTTCACAATTTTCAAAATTTTCGATTTATCGCGTATAGTTTTTTAAGCATTTCATTTTAAAAACTTGTATTCTACAAACATTATTTCCCACTAGAACCTGAAGGAAGAACTCCCAAATTGAGGCATAAAAGAGTACTCCCTTTGCCATGTATTTCGACGCCGGTATCGAATCAACATTTTTTCGACAAAGGTTTCTCTTAATTTATTAGAGCCTTCTTAATTCAATGGCGTCCCCAGTTGTGCTCGATTGGCTCCACTTTTCGAGATAGCTTGAAACTTTGCTTAAATTTTAACTATTTTATAAAAAACTCCCCCAGTTTTGAAGATATTTTACTAAAATTTTGCACAGGATTGTATTTTAATATTACCTTCACTATCTCTGTCCTAAAAATGTATGCAAAGCTTTTATTTACCTTTCCGCAAAAGCTTGAGCAAATTTTTGTTATAATTTATTAAAAAAAACATAATTATGATGTGCTAAGAAATAGTTTTTCGAATTTTATGACAAACGTATTATTTTGAGTTGTGACTCTTTTGAAGACGGTGTGCGATATGTTCATATAATAATAATAATAATATAATAGACTGGCGCTTACACCAGTGTTGCCAGAATATTTTTGTACCCCATCCCCATATCGGGCCGCAGGCATATCAATTAGGTGTTAATTAGGGCCGCCAAATAAATTTAAGAGCTAATTGGTTTCGGAAAAAATCACAAAAATGCGTGACTTCTCTGACCCATCTTTAATAATTTTTACGGTTTTTTGGAAACCTTTTGAGCACCTACATAAATAAATTGTGGCGGCCATAATTTACACCTAAAAAATACATAATTCAAAAACCTTTTAACGAAGAAAAAACACATTTACTGATAAAAACAAATAAACAAACAAAAACAAACAAAGTAATACAAAATATTCAGTTCAGCACAAATTGGGGAAGGCAAACTTTTTTCTTCAACTACTATATGTGACCTGGTCTACGAAAAGGGAGCTTACGTGCGAAAACTAGTTTTCTGTGAAAAAGCTGTTAAAAGTAAGCAACTCGTTTCGTTTACTCGTTTTTTTTTACTCTTCTTTCTCTACATTTTTAGTACACCTCTAAGCAAGTTAGGATTTTCTGCTTTTCACCACGTGAAAAAAGCATCTCATCTTCCATCCGAATCAACCAAAAAGTGAAAATTGATTTTTTGACACCTAAGCCCCCTTTCCGTAGACCAGGTCACATATATTGATCATCACTTTCTGTACCAAAAATCTTGTTCCATTACTAATATAAGGGGGATTAAGGTAACGATAGAATTTTTAAATTAAAATTAGTCTACTATGGTAGATTCCGTTTAGCTTCGTATTCGCTTAACTGTTTTAGTATAACTGCACTTTTCCAGTAGAACACTTATTTCAGAAGTAGTTTTATTCATTATACATGCACTTGTTTCGTTTAACAGCCTCGCGAGATAAATAAAATGATTTATTCTTTCAATTTCAAAATGCTTTAATGACTTTCAATTTAAAAAAAAACCCAGTTTTAAATATCCGAGTGGTCTAATAGTTGAATACATATTTATCCTCCTTTTACAAACACATTTATATATACTTTATTCTAAACACCTCCCATATATATGTATGTCTGCATACGAAATTTCAGTATCATGTGACTTATGGTTCCCAATTTACGGCTGATTAAAAATTCCACGCCTATGGGATGTGACACACCCCCTTTTACAAACCCATTTATATATACCTTACTATAAACTCCTACCATAGATATGTCTGCATACCAAGTTTGACGTTCGTGGGGCTTATGGTTCCGAAGTTATAGCTGATAAAAAATTTTATGCCTACGGGATGTGCAACGCCTCTTTTATAAACCCATCCATATACATATACATATATCATAGATATGTCTGCATACCAAATATCAATCTCGTGGGGTTTATGATTCCGAAATTATTGCTGATAAAAATTTCACGCCTATGGGAGGTGCCACACCCCCTTATCGAATCCCAATTTTTTTCTGCTTATTATAGGCCCGGGTGTCGTGGCAACAAACACTCTGTCAGAATTTCGTTCGATTCTGTCCGTCCGTTTAGGCTTCAACATGGCACATACATACATACATACATACTTAGACAAATATATATTAGATATCTATCCTTCTCCCAGCGTAAACAAAATTTTAGGAATATCTCCACCCCAGGGCCTCCTATCGTGTATTTTTTTAGTCCAATATTCATTTTCAATTGGCTAACATTATGTTCCAAATGTGAGCCAAATCTGCAACTAAATGCAGGTTTTAGAAATATCCGGACCACAGTGCCGCCTAGCGACTACAATTTTAGTCGGAATATTTCCCTTCAAGGTACTGACATACGTTCCAAATATGAACGAAATCGGTCCAGCCGTTTAGTAGTTTAATGACATTCAATATACGGAAAACTCTATGAAATTGTGAAATCGTGACGTCTCTGATTTCTTAAATTTTTGACAACAACAAAAAGTTTTGAATTTTTTAAATCGAAAAACCTACCACACAGACGGTGCAAAACAGTACTTTTTTACAGACGTACCTAATAAGAACCAACAACGATTTAGCACGGCTATAAATAGTGATGGATAAACAGAAACTATTCAGAACAAAAAATGACACTGAAGATGGCACAACGCCGAAACCGGTTTGTCTCCAAACCAAATTTGACAAGGAATGACGGAAAATCGTTCCACATTACATTTACCTGTAATAATTAATTTTCATTAAAACAAACGAAAACTTTACTAAATGTCTAAAGTAAATGATATAAGACTTTGTGTAAGCGTTCTTTCCAGCATATTTCTGGAGTCATATGGCCCATTGTGGAGCTTCGATAGTCTCGTCATTTTATAGTCTTTTGAAAACTGTGTAAACTTTTATAAATTTAGTTTCAAGAGGATATCACCCTGTTTCGTTTTAGCTTAAAACTTTTAACGTGGGAGTTAACCGAAGTCAAGTTTTAAACATGTTTTATTAGTCATTATTTTAAAATATCACATTTGGTGTGAACATTGGGATGAAGCAAACGAGTGCGGTTTTTGTTATTAAATTAAGTATTTAATGTAACTGAATTTTGTACATTGTAAATTCATAAGGTTTAAGTGTTGTCATAACTCGCATTCGCTGAACCGTGGATAATCGTGTTCCAATTCTCTCGCGTGCTGGAAAATCTCGCTTGCGTGACGATGCATACTTTTTCTCGCATACCGAGCGGTTTTCTAGCTCTCGCATGCTTTCAAGTATCATTTTTGTTGTTTGACAGGTATTTCCTCTTATCGCCGAACTCATCAGAGTAGTAGCATTGATTATTTTGGTAGAACATACAAATTTAGCCTACAAAGCTCGAGCCTACTTTTTTGGCGACATTTTACAAATGAAAAAGTATGCTGTCAACAAAACTCTTATCTGGCTTGCGAGAGAAAAAAGCAGAACGCAAGCGAGATTTTCAAGTATGTGAAGACGGCCGGTAATGATTAGCTTACTTCCTTAATTTAAGCAGAGGGAATCCATTCATTGATTTTTGGAGATAAATTAGAAGTTTTTAATTTTAGTTTTATTTTTGATCTCGAAAATGTCGGATTTTCAATAAAATTGTCAAATTAAAAGCCAGTAATATGAAATTCAATGCTACATCTATTGTCTAACGTAGGCTTTTCCAAAGTGGGTGCCGCGAGCGTATGCCTGGGTGCCGCTAGTGACTAGAGTATACTAGTGGTGCGGGCAAATTCTTTAAACTTTCCATACACAACGCAAGCGGTTTGATCAAACTTCAACATGGCGGCCAGAAAATCAAAAACAATTGGATTTTTAATAAAATTACCTTCAGCGGCTCGTCAAACTCCATACACAACACAAATGGCTTGCAGCAAAGGGATATTTCGCTTGGTTTGTCAAGCCGCTTGTGTGGTGTATTTCGCTCTTATACGTAGTACCCCAGTACGTTTGGTCAACGAAAAGTTTAATCAGAAAATTTTCAGAAAAATAGCCAAAAGTGTACCCTTTTCATGACCATTTTTGGTACTTTTGTAGACCTTATCCGCGTCTCATCCACTTTTCTTCTAGTTTTCGGCTTAATTTTCCGATTTTTTGCTGTCTGGGCTGTTCTCGTAACAAGCGCAGGGACTTGTTCTTCTCGTGTTAGTGAGGTACCCATTCGCAATGCAAATCGTAAAAGAAGTTTTGATGAGCGAAGTACTTCAGACTTACACCACTAGCAACGAGGTTTTTAAAGCTATCGACAAATTTTTACAGAAAAATGGTTTGAAATGGAGCAAGTGTGCGGATATTTGCAGTGGTTGGAAAAACGAAAGGAGCAATGTCTAGGATGACGACAAGAGGCAAAAAACGCCACTAGAAGTCACTGTATGACCCCTCGGTATTCCCTGGCGACTAGGAAGATGCCGCCACTAGATTTAAAACCCGTATTGGATGAATCGTCAAATAATTTCAGGGTAAAATTGTCAAAGCTCCCAATACACTTAAAAGAAATAATTAAATCATCAAAACAATTTCAGTCCTCACATTAAAGCTAAAGCATAAAGTTTGCATTGTGTTTTCTTGTTTTCGTAGACATTTGATGAGTAGGGGTGCCGCGAAATTTTTTTAGCACAACAAGGGTGCCGCGGTGAAAAAAGTTTGGGAACCCCTGGCTTAGGTGGTTACAGCGCCAAATAAGAAGAAGAAGAAGAAGAGACACATTCAGTAATTCAGTCTCATCTCAAGTCACTAAATTTGAGATTAGTGACTATTTTTGTGACTTGAGATGATTTGGCTATTCAGTAGGAGAGAGTCACAAAAAGTTCACCAAAAATGTGTGGTGAAAACAGACACAGACAGTCAACTGATAACGTTTATGTATGCCTTTTGCCGCCCCGCCCGGGTAGTTGCAATGGCCGGGTGGTCAAAGCATTCGGCTGCCGGTCGAGAGGGTCCGGGTTCGAATACTGCTCGGGCGTAGAGGATTTTTTATATATTTTTTATTTAGTATTTTTTTATTAGTTTTATTTTTTTGAATAAACTTTAGATTTTAATGTTAAAAAAAGAAATATTTTTTTTTCAATGGATTTGTATGATATTAAAGCATTTTGGTTTATTTCCTAACGAAATTCTTATTGAACAAATTGCCTCGCTTCATATTCGCGTTTTTTTTTTAAATAAAATGGAAAGCAATTGACTTTGTCCATATTTTAATTTTTGAGACCTGCTCTTAGCCAGGTGACAAATTAGTGGCTTTTTTTGAGACTAGAGGCGTGAGACAGCGTACTGAATACCAAATAGTCTCAAAATCCAAGTTCACCACCAAAAGTCACTTATAGTGACTAGAGACCGCTTACTGAATGCCGGGGTAAGTTTAACGTTCTTGTGTTCAAGCACTCAAAAGACAATACCAAATATCACATAGCTAACAAGGACCTAAAGGTGCACTGTAGACTATGAACCGATCCGATTTGTTTTGACAACCTGTTCTATTTGCCTGCGCACGCAACCGCAATCGTCAATTAGACCCTTAACAAAGCCTTTAAATCCGCCCTAGCAGCACTTAGCAAAGACAAAGGATCGTTGTTGGCAGAGCATACATACAGGGCGAGAGTTGAAAATAGCATAGATTATCAAAGAACATCCCACCTTGGTTTGCCTATCACATAATTTGCTTGCGCTTTTGATAACGCATAATTTACTCTTGACATAATTTATTTTCGCATTTCAAGCTTTGTGTTAAGTAGGTGACTGCCCACTTAAATTGATTTTCAAAACATAAAAGTCCTTGCTCTATTTTATATTTGTTAGTGCTCGATAAACATTTTATTTCTTCAAGTGCAGCACATTTTCACTTATGTACATAAACGATAAGTTTATTTTTAATTGTTATTATCAAACAAAACTATCTTTTGCCAGTGAAGTGAGTTTAATCGATCAAGCTATTACGCGCCAACCACATCAATTCCTCACGCAATATTTTCCTAATTTTTGGTCATGTTACCTTTTAATCATGTGCAATTTAACTTGTCTTTGGACAGATCGATGTCGAGTGTAGCGTCTAGATATTTTAGGTTTGGGTTTTTTTATGCAAAATTTGATACTGAAATTTCAAGTAAAATTCAAACTTGAAAAAAACGGTTACAATATTTATAAATATATAGAATTTTAATGAAAAATCTTTCTTTTTTTTTTGTTTCGTCTTCCAGAAATGGTGTTACCGTAGAAGGAGCTACACACAAGCAAGTCGTAGATTTGATAAAGTCTGGCGGGGATTGCCTCACGCTGACAGTAATTTCGGTAACGCAGCAAGTAAGATGCGTATTCAAGCTACATACTGTACATATTATATATTTTAATTTATAAATTTAATTATTTTGACTCAAAGGAGGCGGAAAGACTCGAACCTCAGGAAGATCAGACGGGTTACTCATATATTGATTATTCCGATAAACGATCGTTGCCTATTAGGTATCTATGTATATAAAAAATTTACACGATTGTGTTTCGTTGACCGATTTTGGCATTTCCAGTATACCAGACTACAGCATTGTAAATCGCAATGGAGAGCGTTACATCGTTTTCAATATACATATGGCTGGCCGTCAATTGTGTTCTCGTCGTTATCGCGAATTTGCCAATCTTCACTCAATATTAAGAAAGGAATTTGCTGGTTTTAATTTTCCTAAACTGCCTGGAAAATGGCCATTCCAATTAAGCGAGCAGCAATTGGACACTCGCCGGCGAGGCCTTGAGCAATACTTGGAGAAGGTGTGCGCCGTACGCGTCATCGCCGAAAGCGATGCGGTGCAAGATTTTCTCACGGACTCAGAAGACGATATATCCGCTTCTCCAGTGGACATAAAAGTAATGCTGCCGGATCATGAAGTATCTACGGTCTCAGTGCGAAAGTCTGCAAATGCGCAGGTGGTGTGGGAACTTCTGGTTCAGCGAGCCAACCTAACGTCGTACACCCAACAATATTTTTATCTCTTTGAAATTGTTGAATATAATTTTGAACGCAAGCTGCAGCCACACGAGATTCCACACCAACTGTATGTCCAAAACTACAGTACCGCCTCCAGCACTTGCCTCTGTGTGCGTAGATGGTTGTTCTCAGTGAGTAGAGAGCTTGGCTTACCTGATGGCGAACAAGCAGCAACATTTATTTTTTATCAGGTATTTAAATACATATTGAAATTCTACAATTTCAAGTTGACTTTTTACTTTCGCAGGCGGTTGATGAAGTGAATCGCGGAAATATACGCGCTGAAGGCCGTCTTTATGAACTGAAAGCCTTACAGGATGCAAAGAAAGCATCGGAATATTTGGCGTTAGCGCGCACGCTACCCGGGTATGGCGATGTCGTATTTCCGCACTGTACCTGTGATAGTCGCAAAGAAGGACATGTAGTGCCAGCCGTTGGTAAGTACATGACAATGGCCATTTTCCGGAATGAGTGATTGATTTTTTTTTTTAGTTGAAACAAACAAAAATGTATTTTAATACCTTTTTTCTATAGGAATAAAAAGTTTTCGTTTGCTTGCATGCCGTGAAGATGGTTCACTTGAGTCGCAAATGGTCGAACTAACCTGGGAAAGCATAACTCGCTGGGAGAGCGATGAAGAGTCAATGTCATTCTGCTTTCAATACAATCGCCCGGACAAACCGGCGCGTTGGGTGAAAGTTTACACGCCATATGTGAGTACGCGTCCGAGATATTTTTCCATAACCGACAGTGAAATCTTTTGTCATTCAATATTTCAGCATTCGTTTTTAGCTGATTGTTTTGATCGAATAATGGAGGAACGCAAATGGGAAGATAGCGGTGATTAACAAAAGAACGTCTATAACGCTTGAGCGTGGGTTTCCATTATCATAGTTTTACGATATTTTAAGCACCTGATAGAACTCAGCAAACGCAAATATTCATCTCACTTTTTTATTTTTTATTTTTTTTGCTACTTCATCTAAAAGTTATATCTTCTGTACACCAACTCTAAAGTGCACTACTGGTTGTACTAAGAATAAAATTGGGCCTGAACCACACTGTAACTCATTCTAAAATTTGAAAGAACAACTATAAACGCTGAATACATACAAATGTATAAGCTTTTTTTTTTGTACACTATGATGTGTACTATACCTTCATGTACTATAAAAATCGACCAACTCAACACTAAATTAAATGGCCGCTGTAGCACCACATAATTCGCAATACAAAAAAATTAAAAATTAAATAAAATTGTCCAGATTGTTTAATCTCAGTTAAGTTAACGAATATTGCATATATTAAATATTACATACCCACATACCTACATATATACAAGTTATATATTATTGTATATTTCCGAATTAGCAATTTTTATAATTAAGTAAGAATAAAAGATACATACATATGTCTTATTAAAACATTCATACAATGCACCTTAATCACGCACTCAATTGAAAATCGGCATTTGCGCACCAAGATCAAATTAAACAGCTCCAGGTCACTTAAATTAATCTAAGATGTTTAAAAAATAAATGTTAAAATTGTTGTCAATTTCTAAGAAACAAGCTTAAGTAATCGTAGCAAGCTTACGAACAAGAAACAAACACACTTTCCCATTGTCAATGCAAGTTGTGAGAATCTACTTCAGTTAAGCTGAAATGATTAGGCCTGCGGAGTGCTCTAGAAATAAGAAAAAAGTTTTTGGCTCAAAGTAAGCGGTTCAAACCGATCGTGATCTATAGCTTACACCGAAATCCATTTACAGTTAATTTTAACCAAGTTTTTACTGATCCCTCTATGCCGAAAAAGCCAAAAAACCTGATTTTTCACAGCGGCCAATTTTCGCGACATTTTCATTTAAACTCGCTATATCTCAGACTTTTTATTATCGATTTATTTGCAATTTTTACACAATAAATAAGATGTTATTCTTAAGAAACTGAGTTCTTCTACAGTTCTTAATACTTATTAAAAACAAAATTACTTGTACAAGTTCTATGTAAAAATATTTGTGATCTAGAGGCGAGCGCCCGCTCGTGGGTGTCACCACAATATTCGGCCTCATTGCGTAAGTCGTAAATTAGGCCAAATTTTAAGACTCGAACACATTGACATAGTCTACTGCCGTGCTGAAATAAGTAAACGACGAAAATTGTCGAAAACTATGCAGTGCTGCAACGTTTTGCGGTTTTAATACGCTAGTCGAGTCGAAATTTTTGGCAATGTCGAAAAACGACTTGCATTCGACACGACTCTCGCAATGAGGCTGATTACTATAACTTTGGAATTACTTGCTGTTTAAAACATGAAGCTTTACAAAAAATTTCTTTAGATAATAATGCTATAATCTATAATGTTGCATTAAAACAAAACAAAATTTTCAAATTTTATAGCACACCTTTAGCATTTGTAAAAGCTACCTCCATAATTTTTAGAAAAAAAGTTTAAAAATCAGCCATTTTGTTTTTAATAAGTATTAAGAACTTATTGTGTAAAATCTTCAAATTAAGCGATAATAAAGCGCCTGAGATATAGCGAGGCCAAGTGAAAATTTCGCAAAAATTGGCCGCTGCAAAAATTCAGGGTTTTTGGCTCTTTCGGCATCAGTAAAACTTGGTTAAAATTAACTGTAAATATATTCTGGTGTAAGCTATCGATCACGATTGGTTTGAACCGGTTACTTTGACCCAACAACTCTCTGGACTCTTTTTGGGCATAATCCGCAGGCTTAGATGGTTGAGGGAAAAATCAAACATGTAGCAGTAAATTTGTATATTCATAAGAAGATCTATCAAACTGTTTATAATTAAAGAAAAAAACGTTATACATACATATGTATGTAGTTATATTCATGTGTCACATGCGGTTAGGTCAAGCAACAGGCATAGAAACTATTGTTTATCTTTGCTGATAAATGAATATAGCAAGGGACTTAATTTAATTGTAGATAAATAAAAACAAAAAATTCAAAGCTTCTATTCCATCTTGAAGTTATGTAGTTGAAGCTATTCTATATAAATTCAAAGTTTCAAATGAATCAACGTAAAACGAACAAACACATATGTATTTGTTACTATATATTAATGAATCTATTCTTTTAAAGAATTTCACGATTTTATAATTTAGTTACCTATCCTAAATATTAATAGACTTACATAGGTATATGTATAAATAATTTCTACGCAAAGCAGAAATGTGGCCATTACATTGTTAGTTATTTTTTTTTTTTTTTATAGTAAAATACTCGTTCCAACAGTGACATTCCTTAAGAGAGTAAACCATGCTTTAGTAAGCAAATTAATTATGCATTTGATGGATAAGGTATTCAATAACAAAAATAATAAAAGTCAGATTTAATGATGCTATTCTCTTCCGATGCTTTTAAACTGAAATACATAAAACACGCATATACTACATACATATATACATATGCTATAAACAATGATGGGTAGTACATATATGGAACTGTTTCTTAAATCATAAATATGTAGGCAGGAACTTTCACGGATTAATTCAGGAATAAAATAACATATTGAGTCGTAGGTCGCGAAGTTCCATACAAAATGACAGCGGGCTCTACGAAAATCCGTTTTCTTTATAAATCCATACATAAGTCAATCAGTCTTAATTTGATCTTGTAAAAATGGAATTATATTGATTTGGTGAAAGGTTTGACGAAGATGTATATTTTATTTGTATATTATATTTTCCGATAGAAAAGTGATGTGTTCTGGTAAAACAAAACAATAACACGTTTAACAAAATCAAACAAAAAAAAAAAAACAATTCACGAACTTTTTAAGTCACCAAAAACGCCTATAATTTACAAAACTGTGTCTAAAAGACTATTAAATTCGCGAAGTCATGTAAAAATATGTTGGTCTTAAGAAGATAAAATTGAAGCGGGTTTGAAAAAGGTAAACAAACAGGCAGGTTCCGCAATTCACTTCCTGGTGAAGTTCAATAAAACTCATTTTGAATTCAAATTGGTACGGGTTGAAATTCACTCTGAATTAATGGGTCGTCGATTACGGATTGCAACGCAACCACGATTCGCTTGGCAGCTGGCAACGCAACTAGAAAGAAAATTTTATTACGAATGGCAACTATCGCCGGTTGCTGTAGAGTTATCGATAATCCTCCTTCCAAAAGGAGCTGTAGTATAATTGATTAATAAACAAATGAACCTCTTCGTTCAACTTCAATACCTCCGCTCATAAAAGTTTGCGCACCTCTTCGATTTTTCGCAGAAGGAAGTGCCACAGCAATGACTTCAATTTGGAAAACTTGGTGTGTCGGTAGTTTTAAAAGAGTTGCTTCAGTTAATAAAGGAAAAAATGTGCAATACGTGTTCGCTTTTGTTTCGCCAAAGGGCCTACTCCACGGGAACTAAAATTTCAAGTTATTGTTTTGTTATTTTCAAAATATTCTGTTAAAGGCGAACTGCATTGAAAAATGTTAATATCGTTGAAATTATTAAAAAGTAAAATATATAACACACTTTTCAATTTTCGCTCCTAAATACGCTGCAAAAACATTCCCAGCAACCACAAAAATGTAGTTGCCTGTATGCACACTTTGTAGCAACTGCAGTTGTCGGTTGAAAGTTTGCAGTTGCCATCTGTAATATCGTTATGGCAACTAGCAACGCAAGTGAAGTTCGATTGCTATCGATAATCGACCCATAAGCCTTCCTGAAAGTTAATTATTCAACCTGAGCTTCGACCTATACTAGGCCACTCAAAAAGTTCTTTTTCACTGCTACACGGTGTAGTTAAATTTGGGCTACCATTTGTAGTTTGTTTTTTTGTTTCTTATTCGAAAATCAAGGCTCAGATCTCTTCAACAAAAGCCTGTGAAACTGGTAATTTTTAATTATATTTTTTACCTTTTTTTTCTACTGTCATCTGGCGGATGCTGCCTTATATTTACATAAATTTATACTACATATACATACATACATAACTACGATCACTATATTGTAATTGTAAATTATCATTATAAATATGTAAAAAACATTATATTGTGATTATTTAATTTATGATATTTATTGGTTATAAAATAACAACTTACTTGAATCCAACCACTTTCATACGTTGAAAATTGTATTTAGATCTAAACAAAGATGAATAAATAAAGTAAATATTGCTAAAGCTACAAGCTGCGACCTAATAATTTGGTAAAACCACATGAATGAAACGATGCGATGCAAGTGGAGAAAGGAGTAGATTGCCGAAATCAACACAAAATTACTATATACATATGTACTTCCTCTACGCCCTATTATGAGATAGCGCTATTGTGAAAGTTCGTTTGGGTTGTTCACAATAGTATATATTTTTTTTATCGCTGAGAAGCTTTGTTTACTAATCAGGTAAACTAGATAGTGTCCTTATAAATATTTATGTAAATTTGTGCAAATTAAAAAAAGGTAGAAAAGAAAGCCAGTTAATAAAAACTTGGTAAATATGAGAACAGCGGAGTTCTGGTTCTACGATTCGTCAGAGGCTAGGAGTAGAAAACGTTTAACAGAGTTTAAGTGTAGTCTTTTGAATATATTTTGGCATACAATATAGTTATTTAGGAAATTTGTCTACAGATTTGTTAAAAACTTCCGACTGTCTAAATAGGAGTTTGCAGACCTGCTGTTCGCTACACAAAACCTGCTGCAGCAATGCTCTCGAGCGAAATCTATGTATTTAAAATATTTTAAAACTATCAACAGCTCTATGATTGTGTTCTCAGAGATCGTGAAACTGAGTATTGGGATTTTCTTTCATAAGTGAAACTGGCCTTTCGAGCTTGGATTTAGTATTCACAACGTTAGACCTACATGAAATAATTTAATATTAGTGTATAGCCGGCAAAAAGTAAGAAAACAAACGCAAAGTCATACATTTTTTACAATTTTCCAACACTTCCCTACAGCATTGAAAGCAAAATTCTGTTCGACAGGAAATTCAATACTCAACGAAAATTTCGACACGGTTGCATATTTAGCTCATAATACGAATTTCACTTTCGATCCTCGATAACCAGTGAAGATCGAAAATCGAATACAACTCATAATAAGGGCCTATGTTTTTCAATAATTACGTTTAAAATACGGTTTAAGCATCTCTATTCGCAACATGCTTTTCGTAATGTTCATAAACGAACATAATCAGCCTTGTTGCGAGGGTCGTGTGCAATTCGTTTTTCGAGAGTCGAGTCGTATCGAAAATTGCATGGCATTGCCTAAAAGTTCGTGCGCCATACACCAGCACAGACATGATAAGTGTGTATTTGTACGACGGAAGAGGACTTTACTTCTCAATTGCCTTCTCAGTCCAAACAAGCACCTATTGGCAAGACTGATTCTCCGTTGGATCTCAAGGCTGACATTATTATTGGTGTTAATGCTAGTTCACAAATAAACGAAGTCGTATACTTTTTCAAACTTGTAACTCTCAACTGTGTCGTGTGTGCCAAGACGCATATGATCCGACTGTTGGTTTGATGACAGGAGATACTCCGTTGTGTCCTCTTTCACTATCAGACCCATTCGCTTTGCTCCGCTATCTAGTCCCGAGAAGGTAGAACAGACGTCCCTTGTTTTTACCGATAATATTGATGTCGTCGGCATTCGCCAGCAATAGTACGCTCTTGCAAAGTATTGGGCCTGAGCGGTTCAGTTCTGCAGTTCTTATTACTTTGTCTGAAACCTCGTTTGGTATTAAACGGCTCGGAGAGGTCATTCCCGATTCTGACGGAGCTGGTGGTATTACTCAACTTCATTTTACACAGCCGTATTAGTTTCCCAGATATACCAAAATCAGACATCGCGGCGTAAAGACAACTGCTATTCGTGCAGTCGAAAGTGGCTTTGAAATCGACAAATAGATGGTGTGTGTCGATCCTATTCTCGCGAGTATTTTCCAAAATTTGGCGTATTGCGAATACCTGATCTATGTTGTATGTATCTGTTGACTATCATTTGCTGGCCAAAAGTCGAAAAGTTACCAAAATTTAAAATGGCATATCCAATATGGCGACCAAATTTTATACGTCTTTCCCTTTCATCAAAAACTTTTTCATAAGCGGGCTTTTGAATCCGATAGCAGATTTTTTAAATTCAAATGGCAGATTCAATATGGCTACCAAATTTTATAATTTTTTTCTTTTTCACCTAAAACTTATCGAATTCGATGATTTCAAATCTAATGATAAATCAGTTACTTTTATTTACATTTACTTTGCTAAGTTGCTTTGCTAAGGAACCTTTTTCTGCCCGGCGATTCGAAATTCATTTTTAAGGGCCAACAAATTATATATAGATAAGGAAGGGATACGGTACAAATTAAGGCTGTTTACTCCACCATAGACCGATGGACCGTAGAGGTATTGCGATAGGGAAAGGTAAGTCGGCAGTTGGAAAAGGTTGGGAACCACTGTTCTACGGTAAAAAAAAACTGGCGCCTTAGCGAATGGTGAGAGGTAGAGAGGTGCGTACTACCAAGATCCTTTACCGTTATAGAGATTTAGTAACCAGTTAGCAACAATTTTCTCCTCCGTGCACAATGGGAAATTGTCGACTGATTTTATGCAAAAAATGCTGGAAGGGTAAATTTTTAACCGAATTAAATAATTTTTTTAAATACTTGGAATGGACTCCAGAAAATACTAAAAAAAAGGTTTTTATTTTTATCAGCATATAATGAAAGTTGAAAAACTAAAAAAAGAGAGACCATCAAACAAAAAGTAATATATTTTTTGAGGAGAAATTTAAGATTTTGAAGGCGATAAAAACGTTTTTAAGGTTTTTGAGTTCGATTCCGATGACAGAATAGTGAAATTCAAAATGGCCGATCCAGTAAGGCGGATACTGTTGGAAATTTCGTACCCTTTGCAGTTTTGTGGATAAAGTGTGCCATATCGAATCGGCGATTTTGAATTTCGTGATTCTATCGTTAGAATTGAGTTCACATACCTCAGGCAGCAATTTTATCACATTTAAAACCTGAAACACAGAAAAATATTATTTTTAGTTTGATGGATTCTTTAATTGTTCGACTTTCACAATTTGCTGATATAAATCAAAACCCTGTTTTCTAATTCGGGACGAGACAACGTTTTTTAGGAGTCATCCATAAATCACCCCAAGTACTTATTGCACTATTGAAAAATCTGTGCGAATTCCCAAAATAATTACTACACGCTGATGTTCCCATTGAAGCTAAAGAATGTACACGAAAAAAACTGGTCGCACATAAACAAGCATAGCTCGGTTAATCATAACATTAAAATAAAAATCGGTAGACACTTAAAAAGCTGGAAGCATTTTCCACCTTACTGCATCATTTCTTTTTAGTAACAAAAATCAGTGTAGAAACGAGGACCAAGAAAGAAATCGATCGCGAGTTAATATTGCGCAAAAAGCTGGAAAATCCCAGCATGTTCCATAACGACATCGCAAAAAAGCTAAAATTTCCAAAGTCTACCGTTACTTATGTGCTTAAAAAATACAATGAATGTTTATCATTAAAAAGGAACCCTGGTAGTGGCAGAAAAAAAGGATTTGCTTGCGAAATTAAGGCAAAGGAAGTGTTATCTGCTTTTAAGAAAAATCCTGGACTTTCGGTAAGAGATGTCGGCAAAAAATTAAACATGTCGTCTTCGTATATACAAAAAGTATGCAAAACAGCAGGACTACGTTCTTACAAAGTGAATGCAGCACCTAATCGCAACGGTAAGCAAAATTTGTTGGC